TAAATTATACTTACTTTTGCGGGGAGCACGCTATCTGCGATATTGTATTCTTCTATTGTTACCTCTCATTAGATGTAAAACAGATAGAATTACAATAGCACAGATAGCACGCTCTTCGAACGCAGCCAATATACTGGACGTGATTGCACTATATGAAATTGCACAGCAACTTTAACTAAAAAGAACAGACTTAAAATAGCGACGAAATGTTGCAAGTTATTCTATTTAGCAAACCTTTTCCTACATGGAACATTTTTACTGACCACTTTTTTTCTCTATGTACTATCTAGTTAAGTCTCCTTATTCTTCGTGATCTCATCACATCCAACTGAGTTCTAAAATGGCCGTTTTCCTTTTAGGAGACACAGTCGACACAAGTCGACACAAGAGTCATTCTGTCTTTGTTTCTCACTGAATACTAAACGAAGACAGAATGACTTTTGTGTCGACTTGTGTCGACTGTGTCTCCTAAAAGGAAAACGGCCAATGACATTCAAAACATAAACAAACTAAAGCTGTAACGTTACACTAGCTTTACACCACCTCTCAAGGAGGTGTACAAAACGTGTAAATTACGTCATTAAAGTGTACTACACTTTCAAGAAGAACAGCGTGTAATGACGTAACTCAACGTCACTTCCGGCAAGAAAAACGCTAAAGTGTACACTTTACACTAAAGTGTATAAAGTGTACACTTTACACTAAAGTGTATAAAGTGTATGCAAGAAAAACAGACCTTTTATCTTTCCCTATACGGAAAGACTGCTCAGCAAAGGTGCTCCAAGCCTAATATCAGTCAGAAGTTCCTAGAATGGCTTCCTAGAATGGCGTATGGACTAACTTAATTCGGTCCACTGAGCCAATTTTGCACCAAACCAAAACCTAGTACATATGTGAAACATTTTTCGTTTTTATATATTTCTGGTATAAATAGGATAATGGCCACATCATTAGCAGCACAACTTAAGAAACTGCGAACTCCACAGACAAATTTATTACTGCAGGATAAAAAACGTCCCAGTTTGCTGTTTGATCCAAAAGAAGCTGCGAATTTGGATCGAGATACCGTACTGAGTATAGGTTAGATTTTCACTCATATTTTGTAAAATTGAGTTTGGGTGTTCTAGGGAACTCGACAGCTACAAAAAAATCAAGTTATTGATTTGTAAAAACTCAAATTTTACATGTTTTTCTAAAAATTCAGTAGTACACAAATGATTTTAGTTTTTGCATTGTTTTGATTTACATAATTGTCTTGAACATAATTTTATACATCTTTTACTTAATTTATCAATTGTTTCAGGTCAGAATGGTCTAGATGAATTAGTAAAACTCTCCTCAGTCTTTGATGACTTCAGAACAACACTATTTGCTCAAAGTGCTGTGAATTTTGAACGTGCTGTTCAAGATAGTACAGTAAACAAAAAGCTTGACTTAGAGATCACCAAGTTTTTGATTTTACTATCTCCATACTTTTTACTGAATCCCACTCACAAAGCTCTAGAATGGTTGATACACAGATATCACATCCATCAATACAATCGAGATCAATTTATTCTCCTAATACTGCCGTATCATGAGACTCGCATGTTTGTTAGGTATATATATTATACACACACATGCATATGTACATATAACATTTTATATTGATGATAGAAAAAACTTCATTTTTTTTTAAGAGCTTTGCAGTTGGTGAATCTGTCAGATGAAAATGACAAATGGAACTGGCTGGCGCTTCTGCAGAAACGTCGTATTCCAATGTCTTCGGAAAGTCTTGTTGCTCGTTTGAGTACAGATAACGGACTTCTGAAGACACTGTGCAATCATGTGATAACTGCCACGGATACTTACTCCCAGCAAGCCACTTGCTTGAGCACGTTGTATGCGTTTTACACTACTTCGGTGTTGGGTGTAATTCAACAAGCGTCAACTGTTACCGAGGTTCAGATAAATCACATTCTGCCTGCTCTTTTGCGTGGTCTGAGAAGTCCTATTGCTGATTTCACCTCCAGCAGCTACATGATAATCGCAACAGTCACGACAAGGGTAATTAATGTCTTTATCTATCATTTATGTTTTGAGAATTTTTATGATTAACGTTTGACTTTGGTAAAATAAATATACAAAATTGTATATTATTTTGATATTATGGAACTTTAGATGATGTTTAATGCCGATACTATGGAGAAGTTATTGTTGAAGACCTTCAAGAAGACACACTTGAAGAAAGAAGCTACAACTCTCTTGCTCTATCTCTATCAATCTCCGTTTAATCGTCTAACCGTTGTGCCACAAAGTTTAGTTCATCGGTTGTCCGATCTGTCTTGGTTCGTCGAAACCGTAAGCGATGTTCACTCAACGGGTGTCAATGCGTCTCGATTCGTTGTATGTTTTCTTCAAGAAGCTTGTAAGATCGTTACCGAAGATCCCCAAAACACCGCCGGTATTCAAAGCACGATCGACGATATGTTGGTGCGCGTCAAACTCGACAACGACGCAGTAGACGCCATCTTGACGAGCGTGCTAACATGCGAATTTTTCAAGAGTGAGGCTTCGAAAATTGCGAAGGATTTCCTGGCGCGGTTCTATCAGAGCTTCGAACGCAGCTATCCCGAAAGGTTTGACAAGTATCTGAAAAATCTGATGAAACGAAGCGAAAACGATCAAGATTCGAAACAAACGTTGAGCTTTCTGACTTCCTGGCCTTTTGGCACTAAGGACACGCAAGAGTCCGTTGAGGTGTTGAACAAATTAACGCATATCCACGCCGCTCAGCGTATGACTGCTCTCGAGATTCTCGCCAAGGATGACATGAACGTGCCCGAGAACTTTCGCGGAATGATGACGACCACGCTTCAAGCCAGATTTTGCGATAATGATGTAAACGTCGTGAAGACCTTGCTGTCTTTTTCCACAAAGAAATTAATCAGTCTGATGCCTACTGATACTTTGGTAGATGAGCTGGTGGTTTTGCTGTCAACGTGTCACACAGCTTCGAGAAAAGTGCTTGCAAGGCCGGCATTGAATAAACTTCTGGAACTTTGCGACGAAAATGACACTAGTGTTTTCATCATCGCTCTGTCGTATCTCTTTCCGGCTGTGAACGAGGATGTGAAAGTTGCGATGGATGTGCTTCACTCGAACTTTGCCAAGAACAACATGTACATGCAGCGCGTGTTAGAGGATATTACCAAATCCGGAACGAATCCGAGCGCCGAGACGATCTCTTCGGCAGCTTTTCACAACATCTTGAACTATGAGCTGTTGCCGCCTACAGAGAATATATTGAGTTCTATGCAACAACAGATCTCGCACGGTGACGCGGCGTCTCTGTTCTTCAACATGATCCTACTGGGATCGGTTTGTAGAGTGCCCGTGGGTTCGATGCCGGCCGAGGTCGCGCGAGTTGTTATCGAAATGGCCACGGAAATGATAAGAATGTATCCACGCGTTAAGCTGCTACGTGACTGTTACAACATCACTGGTGACAACATCCAGGAAGCTCTCAAGTTGACGTCCGAAGGCGTGCTGCCGCTGCAGGTGGGCACTTATGTTCTGGAGATGGTGCACAGACGATTGAACATCAAATCCGAGCCGAAGCTCGACTTCGACGACAACTCGGAGCGTAGCAATCTGATTCTGCGATTGCTGGAGATGTTCATTGAGGGTATGGCCAATCGTCATTGGCAGAAACATTACTCTAGATGCTTGCACATCTTCTTCCGGCTGCATTTTGCCACGGTAAAAGATCTCATCTGTTTCCTCGCGCAGTTGTATATGAAACCCGTCAAACTACAGACGTCCTATTATTGCCTGCAAATGTCTCTGCTGTTGCTAGACCAGTGCGAATCTATTCAGTGGGCGTTTCAGGATCAAGATTTTGTGACAAATCTGTTACTTTCGCTGGCAAGACGCCACAACGACTGTCGTGCAGTTGCGGTAGACATATTGCAGAAACTGATGCAGAGCTTCAGTTTAAACTCGGAACCGTTCTTCGTGCTGCTGCAGGAGCTGGCGACAAAGAGCACTGAAATTGCCCAAGATCCCGATCAGCTCTCGTTAAGCCTCTATGTTCTTCTCTCGCCGGATCCAGACGTTTCTCATCAAGTAAAGCAACGCAAGAAACTTCAGCAGGCGCAAAAACTGCTGTTCGATGTGGTAACGCAGCAGAACGGAGCATCGAATATTTCTATGAATCGAAGATCGCAGCTTCTCGATATTCTGACGTATGTCAACAGCAGCGAGATTCTTCAGCGATTGGTTCAGTTGGGTCTCGAGCTTCTGCAGAAGCTAGCGGAAGAGCCTAACAATCAGCCAGCCGGTAACGCTTTGCGAAATATATTGCAACGTTTCACCAGCACCACAGTCGACGCGCTGAAAGACGAACAAGTGTGGCGGTTCTTCGAGATGAGCATGTCAGAGCACGAGCCGCGAGCGGTCACGGAATCCGGCAAGCTAACGTCGCCGAGCATCGTGTTGCTAAAGCAGATCGACGAGCCGTTTTTCCGGAACGCCGGTGAAAAGTCTCACGATCTTCAGGCAAAGATTCTATCTAAGATGCTGGATGTAGTAACTGATTGCGAAATCAGCAACGTCATTTCCGCAGCGGGAAAAGCGATTCGCCGGATTCGAATCAACGCAACGATTATCATATCGGAATTAGAAGCGATGAAGCTAAGCAGTCAAGCAGCGGAAGAAGAGGAATCTAAAAAACTCACGGAAAGTGCAAAGAAGCGGAAGAAGCGGCAGAGTCAGATACGTCTAGCCAATCCAGCGATGGTTCACACGCGGGCGTGGAAACGTGGTGTCGCTTTGTTGGAATTTATTCAAGATGCCGACAATATCGAGCACGAAGAATTGTTGTACAATGTGCTGTTCGAACTGTTGAACGTCTGTTTGAGTCTAGAGGAGCAGAGTCCGGTCGAGTACACGAATCAACTGTTACTGTCAACGCTTCACCGACTCATGACAAAGGGTCTACCAGTGCGCGATGCCAATCTCCAAATTGTGCTTATTACCAAAAGTATCAGGACATCGCGCAATCCGCAAACGCACCATCACGCGCTACTAGTACTGATCGAACTGCTGAAGAATGTGGACGTGCGTCGCGCTCTTTACAATATCATGCCAATCTTTACGTTTATGGGCAACACTGTCGTGCGCCAAGACGACGCTTATTCAATCCAAATCATTTCCAAGACCTTGGAAACCATGGTGCCGATTGTGAACGCGAGCAGCGACGAGATGCAAGCCTGCGAGTTGCTAAGAACCTTCATCGTCTCGTTGCCGCATATACCCGAGCACAGACGGACGCCGCTCTTCGCTAAACTGCTGCAATTACTCGACAATTATCTACATCTGTACTATTTGCTGACATTTGAGAGTCACGTGATGGCGAACCAGAAGAGCGAAAAACCGCCGCAACATTTGGACTTTGCTCTTCAGATGTCCCGGGAGTTCTCTCCGCTACGCTTACTTCAGGTTAGTTCGGCAAATAAAACTTCTCGGTCAAATAAATTGGTTTCAAAATAATTCTAATAAGTGTTTTCTTATCTTTACAATAGGTTTGCGTGAATGTAACGGAATTCCTCAAGGATTTGCCGATCGACATTGAGGAGGAACACGACAGAAGGATAGCAATGAATTTTAAGCAGAAGCACATTTACGACGTGACTAAGACCACGCCGAAAGGTTTGCGACTCTATAAGATGACGGCTGTGCAATTTCTCAGCAACTTGATGTCGTCTCAGGATTTCATCAATCGCGTAGCTCTACTGAATCCGGAAGAAACGAACAAGATAAATAAATACTACGATCGTTTGGCGGTTGAGCTGATTTTGTTGATTCAGACCACCTCAAAGATCGCCGATCAACACCACAGCAAGCCGAGCGCTAAGTACTGGAAGGTGTTGCTGCATCATCTTTACGACGTGCTGGATGTGGTGAACAACTTGATGCCAAACGTCTTGTTCCTGAACAGTGTCAATTATCTGATCAAACACGAGTTGTTGTCGGTGCGGAAGAAGGCGCTGGAGCTGTTGAATACGAGACTTCTTCAAAGAAAGTTCGGCGAGGATGATTACAAGAATCTTCTGCGTATGATGAAAGGTTTGATAGGTTTCCTTGACTGCTCTGAGAAAACTGAGAGCCAGGAACAAGAAATTGTTCAACAAACGGTTCTGATTACCTTGAAACTGTTGGCGAAACTACTGGCTGTTGATAATCCCGATGATTTTAAACCGGTATGTAAATTTTATTGTTTAATATTTTATGTTTAATATTTTATGCAGCTGTATACTTAAATATCACGTCGATAATTTTTATAGATACTCGATATAACGACGGAACTGTTGCGCTCGAAGGACGGTCCAGTATTAGCCAGTGCGGCGTTATGTGTCGCGGAATTGTGCAGTTCTATGAAAACATACGCTCTGTACTCGCTGAATAAATTCTTGCCTGCAATTCTGGAGTTATTAAAGACTCACTGCCATCAAAACGTGCCGGACATGATAATTGTCAGTATCGTGAGTGCTTTACAGAAGATAGTGGAGTCTCTTGGAAATTTCTTATCACTTTATTTGGATCAACTGTTGCATGAAGTAACTAGGCTGAGTTCCTTGTATACCGACACGGAACATCCCAAGGTATTTATATATATATACAGAGTGTCCCAGAATTGGTGTAACATCTCTCGTAGACGGGTAGAAGAAGTAAAACTAAGTCGACAAGTCCTATACCATTTTGCTAGATTTGTTATAGTTACCGAAATCTTAATAAAGATCCGCGAATAAGCGTGCATCGGGCTGTCTTACGCGCGTAGGACAGCCCGGCGCGCTTCGCACAATTACATTTTAATATGTATATGTTGTAGTATATGCTGTTATATTAGCTCCTCCCATATGCTGCTACGGATAACACCGTAAGCGCGCAAGACAGCCCGATGCATGCTTATTCGCTGATCTTTGTTAATTAAGATCTCGGTAACTATTGCGAAATCTAGCAAAATGATATAAAACTTTTTGACTCAGTTTTACTTCTATTTGTTCACGAGAGATGTTACACCAATTCTGGGACACCCTGTATATATATATGTTGCATTAAATATAATTTCAAGAAAAATAAAATGCAATACAAAATAAAACGCTATATTTGTGCAGACTGGCGTCATAGTTTCACGGCTAAAGACGATATCACAAAAACTGTCTTGTTGCATACCTCTGCGAGTGCTATTGCCAGGTGTCAATAGAACCTATCAAGTTCTTTTAACTAAGAAATCCTATCAATGTATATCACCGTTGATGAACGTGTTGGCCGAGTCTTTCAACAACGTGCAGCCGATGGAGTTGAAGGTCGAGATCGACAATCTCGCCAAATTTTTCCTTGAGGTTCTGGAGTTTCGCGAGAACATCAACGTCGAGAACAACATGGAAGTGGATGGTGACGAGGACATTGCCTTGAAAAATATTGTCGCGGTTGAGGAAAGCGCCAGTAAGGCGTTGGTAGCTCTAGTCCTGAAGCTCAGTGAAGTTACTTTCAAGCCGTTGTACGAGAAGCTCTATCAATGGGCGGCAAATAACACGCAGCACAAGCAGCGTAACATAACTTTCTATAGGTATAGACAATTTATTGATTTTATAATTGTTTTTTTGTTTTTTAAAAACAGTACAATACAGTTTTATATTTTTTTGTCAGATTATCGGCGAATATAGCGGAATGCTTGAAGTCGCTGTTCGTTCTGTTCGCTGGACTGTTCTTGAAACACGCGGCGTCATTACTGAGCAGTAACAATACTTTCGTCATGGAAACTCATCAGGAACTGACGCTGGTCAACGAATCGAGCAGAATTGAGTTGGTAGAGGCGATTCTGTTGACGCTTCACCGAGTGTTCGATTACGACGCGCACAATTTCGTCAGTCAGGATCGATTTGAAATTCTCATGCAGCCAATAGTGGATCAAGTGGAGAACACGATTGGCACTAGGGAAGAGTACGAGAGTCGAGCCAGTCGATTGATCGTACCGTGCGTAGCTTCTTTCGCGAGCGCCATTCCCGACGACTCGTTGCACAAACAACTGGTCTATCAAACGCTGCTGAAGACCAGACACGCGAAACCTTACGTCAGAAGCACCGCTCTGAACGCATTGGTAAGTTGATTAATCGTGGAATTTGGATAAATGTTTTTAATGTGCAAACAAACTTGATCTGTTAGCATTTTGTATTTAACTAAGTTTATTTACAATATTTTTCGACTTATTTTCTTTTAGGTGGAAATTGCGAGAAAACTCGGAGAAGACTTTATGCCGTTGTTGCCAGAGACCGTGCCGTTCTTGGCGGAGCTTTTGGAGGACGAGGACGAAGCTACGGAAAAGTGCGCGCAAAATGCTGTTCGCGCACTGGAAGAGATTTTAGGAGAACCTTTACAGAAGTATTTTTAAATTTGAAACAAGCAATTAAGTAATCAGGAGACACACACTAAAATATACAAAGGTTGTCCGACAATTACTTTAACATCTCTTGTAGACGGGTAATAGTTACCGAGATTTTTATTAATTAAGATCTCGGTAATTATTACAAATCTCGCAAAATGGTACAGGACTCTTCGACTCAATCTTACTCCTACCTGCTTACGAGAGATGTTGAAGTAATTGTCGGACACTCTGTATACTTGTGAATATTTATGTAAATACATTTGTTTTGTGTAATTTACTTAACAAATTATTTCACAATAAAAAAAACGTCTTTTTAAAACTCATAATTTTTTATATCTTCCAAAAGTTGCGATACAAAAAGTTAAAAAATTGCACTCTGTTACAACTGAATCTTCTGCAAAAGTTATAAATGAATAAAAAAGAACGCACACAAGTGATTACTAAAAAAACATTGGTTTATTTTTTAACTTATCTACAATGTGGACGAAATATAGAATATATTATTTCTTACATTATAATACAGAATAACGTAAGTGTACTTTAAGTCATGACGTGATAGTTTTGCGAGTTACATTATATTTATTGTGAACAAAGTACAGTCCGTTTACGAGAACGTTTTTTTTTTTTTTTTTTTTTTTTTTTTGTTCCTAGATTCGTTTTGGCAACGTATTTCGTTCTAAAAATGGCTGTCCGTCTTGACATTGAATCTCGGAAAATATACGATATTTAAAGATTGACACTTGCTTGTGAGACGATCGATTGAACACTCAAATGAGAGGAAAATGAATCTCTCTCGTTCTCCTCTCAATGTCAAATACAAAGTCATCTGAACTTTCATGAACTTTGATTTGTGTAAAAATAATACAAAAACAAAATGTTTGAATCGATCAGCCACGTTTTGCCGCTGAAAATAGAACGTCACACGAAAAGTTTCTTCTTCAAAGTTCTTTTTCGGGGTTAATTGCGCGAATCGCAATTACAACTTCGACGTTCTTCGGAAATCGATTCCGCGGCATCTTCGGGATGATGACTTCCGAATTTTTTTTCCACGTGGACACCGAAGATGATTTGTCGGCCGTGTGTGATTTCGGCGGCCACGTGCGCGATTACACCAGAGGCTTCCGGAATCACACTTGGGGCACGTCGGGCGGACTTCGAAGAGTCATCTCTTCATCCTGTGTTGTGTTTAGAACTTTTCTGAAACGCAAAAGCAAGACTTATGTAGTGCCGTTGTTGTGTTTTTTTAAACAAAGTATTTATATATACACATATATATATATATATATATATATATTTATTTACTTCGCAATCTTGCATTTTTAATAAATTATATAAAATATAGCCGATAGCATATAGCCCGTTTGTAGTGATATTCAATTGAAATTCAAAATACACAAAGGAAAGAATTATGTATTCATTTTGCAATATATATAGGATTGAATAAAAGATTTTGCAGCGAGTCTCGATATAGACGTGCTTTTGCCGAGCGCAGTGTGTTTTTGTCTCTCGGACGCAGTTTGCTCTGATTGTTGTTATTTGCGCGACGGAAACTCGAGCTGAGAGAGTATAATAAGCGCGATATTATAATGCTTCGCTATTTAAAAATCAATAAACACGACAAATGCGATCGTTCTTTTGAATAATTAATAAATCGATTGTTGGTTCGTACGGTTAATTAACGAGAACGATCTGTAAATACTGAAACAATAAGCAGTTATCGGTTCGTACCGGCTCTATTTGTGTGACTTACATATTGAATAATTTATGTAGAGTAAAAACCAGATGGAAAATTGAAGAGGAAAATTCACGCAAATTATTTTTTTACGAAACAAAAAAACGAAATTTCTTCAACGATGAAATATTCGTCGATTGAAATGTAGTTAAGTACATTTCGAATTGAAAGTGCGGGATGTACATATAAATCATAATATGTGATTGAAAAATACAAATTTCCGAGCAGCTAATCGCGGAATAATCAATAAAATTGTATTGCGTATTAAACGTTGATTTGACTTCGTTGCCGGTCGCGGCGCATTGTGCGGTTTCGAAGGTGGCAGCATCGGTTTCGAAGTTTTGGTTACTTTGCATACGCAGAATGTGAATGTCGTCTCCGAATCCATCAACTATTCCGCGCGATACGTTTATTAATTAGTCCGTAAAAAAACTCCCATTAATGTAATTATTAATCCTCGTGTTTGTCACACGCGCAATATAAATTTAGTGCTTCTGTCAGAAATTCTTCAAAATCGTCTGACATATGTATTTATCTTGTCCGCGCGCGAACTGTAGAGGTACCATCGGCAAAACAGCAATTGTACTTCGAACAATGCATTTGACGACGCGATTACGTATCTTGTACATTTATTTTCTTTCTCATTAGATTCGTGTTAGAACACGATGTAGCAATAAACTGTAACGCGAGGGAATATTGTTTTCACGCAAAATTTTTAAGTACACATCGGATAACAAAGTACGAGGGGAAGCGGATGCCGCGTAAAGTTGGCTGCGCGAGTTTCGAATAGAACGTCGCGGTGCGGCTTCGGTAAAACCGCGTTTTTTTCCCTGTATTGCGTTACATGGAAAAAAATAATATGCGTCGCGTAATAAATTATGCAAGTGTTATATATGAAGTGATGCGAGGGCCCATTGGCGAGACGAACGAGAAGACACGAAAGATGATGCGGGAACATCGGTAAGTGATTAACTTAGTTATGTGTACTTGATCTGTTACCCCGATAGGAAAACATTTGTGAAATTTATGTGAGAAAATCTTGCATGAAAATTGTGGTTTGCAATTATATAGATATAATTTGTGAAATAAATGTAAAAATATTGATATTTTATAAAATATTTGTAACTGTTTGCAAAATTAATTTTCAAATACTATTTCGGCAAAACAATAACTATATGGCGAAAATCATCTTAGCGGTATATTTGCAAAATTAAATTTAAAAAGAAATTGTTCAGATAATTGAGAAAAAATGTCAGCTATGTTTAAAACATGTCAAAATATAATTGCACATGAAGAAATCAAATTAATGTATTATGTATTTGCTTATAAAAATGCACAATGATTCCTAAATTTCAATGTAGAAATATTGCATTATTAATGCAGCAACATCTTAAATCAAGAGTCAAAGTTTTAATGAGATGCATGTGAACTGAGCTTTCGATCATGCTTGTCGAATGTTTTAAAATAATTAGTTAACAATCAGTTAACGTTTTTTAATCACGCAAAATTGTTGTCTCAATCAGAGTTCCGAGATCGTGGAAAGTAAGATTCTCCACTATTCTTCACTATTACTGGTTTAAAAAAATTAAATTAATGTATTAAATATAGATATTTTATCTGTAAATGTTGCAAATATTGTAAAAAGAGTTTTGTATTACATTGTCACAAATATTGAATTGTATAATTTTATGCATTAAGGAATTAAAATATTATAGAATATTTATACTCTAAACTACTTTTTTTTTAATTTGTGACAAATATTATTTCCAAAATTTTATTCCAACAAAACTGTTGCGTTATAGCGAATCATCTTAGTGCAAGTATTGTGAAACTTTTCGACAATTCATGATGCCATTTTTGTGCAATATTTTCACAATATGCCTATTAGGGTACTTGTATGTGACTAACCCTTCAGTGCCAGATATGGATCTCCGAGACCCTCCTAAAAGTTTTTATATATAAACCGGTGTCTCTACTAAATATTAATTTAATGCGATATCTGAAGGCCATGAAAAAAAAACTTTAGGGCCTGAGACAATGATAGAAGTCGCTGACAGCGTTCTTTGTTTAATAGCTGTGCGAAGTTTGAATTTTGAAGTGCGAAAAAGATCTGAGAGACCCAAGTCTTGTCCAGACTTGGGTCTGGACAAGACATTGGCATTTCGAAAAGTGAATAAATTTTTTTTTCAGTTTGTGCAATTCTAATATATTAAAAAATTGTTGTTTTGTTCATAATTTTATCAAAATATATGTACATTTATAGCGATTTATTAGTCATGGAATACAGAAACGTTTCTTTGAAACTACTAGAGATTTTTTCAATTTGACTTTTTAATCGACGCAGAATCGTTTAAATTTTTCATTTAAAAAAAGAAAGAATATGTTTATAAATATTGAATTGCTAAAATATTGCATGTTAAAGTTGGACGCTAGAAAAATGCATTCTTCAAATAACATCTCAAAAAACCCATTGTGAAAATGTATAATTTGAAAAATGTTTAATTTTACAATTTTTAAAAGACACTTTTGTTCCTGAAAGTATACAGCGCGTCACTGAATTGCGGATTAGGCGCGGGGATCGGAGAGCAAGCGGGCCGTACGATTCGTACGGCGCGCCGACGCACAGTGGGGCCGTTTGCGCCAAATGCGGTAAAAAACATTTTATGATTGGAATTAGATATTTATGTCTTATTTTTTTATTTTATACACTTCGAATATGTATTTTAATTCTTTTTCTTCTTTCTTAATACAATTCCAT